TGCAAACTAGCCAATTAACTAATGACATATGCCCACAACTTAATATATTAAATCATACTAGCTTGGTTTAATTTTTCTACAAATTTGATGACAGATAAGTAATGAATTGTCTCTAGTTGCAAGAAACAAATTAGTTTAAGCATTCTGTCGCAAATATTTCAACTGTGGTTCGATAAAATATATGCTGTCTGCTCCACTATACCTAAAATATATGTTGTCTGCGCTGCTACCAACTTGTCCAGCTATACTATACCTTAAAGTAAGTGTTTCTTCCAAGATTGGGCTACAGGTGGCTTTGACACCTCTAGATCTAGATTTGTCCTTTATGGATATGGAGTTGTTTGGGAAAAAAAAATCTTTAGGGTCTGTTTAGATTGTAAGTTATTTAGGATTATTTGGGATATTTTTACTGTAGCACTTTTTGTGATGTGATGTATGTGAGATAAAAAGATATTGGAAAGATAAAAAGGTGTATTGGAAATTGTAAAGATGATGTAAGCAAATAAAATTGGGGAAATATGAAGCAATCCAAACAAACCCTATGTTTTTGTATAACAAGTTTCCTAATCACCCTTTTTACCTTTATAATAATTTTTTTATTTCACATAAGTCACATTATATAAAAAACATTACGTTGCTACCATAAATAATTCTTTTTTTTTTCTGTGAAAAATACAATTCAAAAGGATACATTTTTGTGTGATTTTTCTTGCTAATATGAAAACGAAGTTTAAACTTCATAAGTTGGAATTTTGGACGTGCATGACAAAAAAGTTGAAGCACATATCATAAAACATCCTTAATACCACAATAGGTTTTGACTCTTTCCTCAGAAGATAGAGTTGGATTTTTCAAACGGAAACTCAATAAGCCTAAACGGTCAAAAGATTTGAACTATTCCAGTGTGAAAGGAGAATAGCGCATTATAGAATCTCGCGGTCTTTGTCATCATAACTCTGCGAGAAAAAGTATAAAATTTTTGTCATCTTGGCACTATCATTGACTAAAATGGTAGAAATTAAGTAGGGCAGTGTTTTGAAAATCGGATCGGACCAGTCGGTTGGATCGTGAACCGATCATGATCCCGATCCGGTTTTATGCTATAGTTGATCAGGTTAGAAAATCGGTTAAAAATTGGTTAAACCGTGAAACCGTCGGATCGGATTGAACCGGCAGTTTCCGGTTTTAGAGATTTTCCTTTTTTTTTTTAACGTTTTACAAAATGCAACTATCAAGATTCGAACTCAAGACCTTTGTAATAGGAGACCAATGTAGTAACCATGGCACCATCACATCTTATTAGTTTTTTTTAATAACTTATTTATATAAAACAAAAACGCATATTTCTTTTTGTCATTTTTTTTACAAAATCTAATCCTCTCATGGCTCTTTCTTTTTAATTTTCAACACACACACACACACACTCTCTCTCACTCTCTCCTCTTTTTTTTTTGTCACTCTCTTTTTAATCAAACCACTTTATTTTTAATTTATTGATGTTTTCTTCCATCTTTTAATTTTATTTTTGTCCATTAAATTGAAAAAGGTTAAAAAAGAATTATTTTTCTTTAACCCAAATTATTTAATGCCACAACCACTCACTTTTATCTCATTTTTTATTTCTTATCAAGTTTGCATTTCTATTTTCGATTCTCTTGATTTCTTTCGAACTCCAAAATTCCTTTTTTAAATTGCAATCTCTAAATTCCAAAACGTAAATTAAAATTTAAGTTCACAAAATCTAAATTTTCATAGACATGAATTTTGTATAATTTTAAAATATTATGATATTTTTGGGTTAGATCTAAGATTTTTTTGGTAGATATAATTGAAATTGAAATGAAATTTATTTGTTTTAACTTATAATTTAAAATTTTTATTTTTAAAAAATCAAGTTATTCAAAATAGTAAACTTTTCATCATATAATGTATTAAATTAGTCCATTACATGTCTTATTTTGTGCATAAATATTTATATAAATTATTTTTTTAAAAATTCATTGAACCGAGGTTAAATCGGTCCGACCGGTTGAACCTCGACCCTTTCACGTCACCAGTTCAATTAACGGTCCGATTTTTAAAATATTGATGTAGGGACCAATTAGAAAATTTTCTCTAACCTCAACCTACCAGAGTTGATCATTTCCTGATGGCCACATGAGGTTCGTAAAGCTTTGAACCGCTTCAACGCATAATTATTGAATCTTCAATGTATACCAATGGTTTCATGAAGAGTAGTGTCACATCTTAGTCTTGATTGGTGTTAAGCAATTTTGTCTCCATGGGGAGGTTGAGCAACTTCTTTAGTGATCCAAAAACTTCACTAATAAACTCAGATTCAACTCTGCCGTAAACTGCAATAAAACAGCTAAACTCCTCCAATGCTTCCCTCACAGATTTGCCAGTAGATAACCAAGAGCTTGAGCGCAGAACTTTTTTTTTTTTTTTTGTGAAATATATGACAGAAGGGATTTCACTGTTTTGTTGTATTTGAGGAATCTAGACTGGAGCATTGGTCTCCATTATCAAACTTGTGGATGATTTTCTTGGTTTCAGATGTAGTTGTTCTAGGCATAGTTATTAAACCCGGTCCGGTCCGACTGTTCGACTAGTCAACCCGGTGAACCAGCTATTAAACCGGGCCGATTTTCTAATTAGATCGTTTTTACAAGTGAATTATTGACTTTTCAACGGATCGGCGGTTCAATCAGATTAAACCGGAAACCCCTGTCGGTTTGTGGACAAACCGGTTTTAAGGAAAAAAAGCTTTTCCAAGCGAACCCAAGACTAAAGGTCTTGTTAGTGCTTCGCTCACCACCAAGCCACTTCGTCACTTGTTAAGTAATGGCCATTCTTATGCTATATGAATGTTTTGTTAATTTTATCTTTATTTTTGTGTAATTCTCCAAAACAAATTTATTTGGAATCTTTTAATAAAACTTATGACCCCTATATTCTATAAATTATAAAATAGATTTCAAAAATAACATATTACATAATTTATTTTAAAGATAAATATTGTTTTTAATATTTTTTTGCACTTAAAATTTATAAATAGCCTAGATAATTACAGTAAACATATACACTTGAAGTTTGGTAGATTACTAATTAAATTTATGCTTTGTTGATTCTTATATGAATTAAATATTCTATAGCAAATTAAATTAAATGAATATTTGTTATGACATTATTTATTACAATTTATATCATATATCCTATATCAAAATTTATAAGATATAATAATTAAATATATTTAGTGACCCACTGGTTCAACCACTCACCCATCGGTTGAACCAGTAACCCGTTAACTCACCTCCTTCGCCGGTCTCCTCTCCGGGCCGAGTTTAATAACTATGGTTCTAGGGGTCTAGTTAGGGATGGCAACAGGTGCCGCCCCGCCCCGCCCCGCGCCGCCACCTGTTTAAAAAAAAAGATATATATATATATGTGCATAATTATATATATAATGCTATTATCAATTATACTATTAATTATACATGTCTATTAATAAAAATTATTAATTATTTATACTAAATTTATTAATACATTTATATTAAATTCCTAACTACACTTAATACAATAACACTTTTTTCTAATAATTTAGTGATTGTATTTGTATCAAAAATAAAAATTTGATTATTTTAGTTATATTTGTTTTATCATATTAGATTGTATTCAAATAATTTTTGTTTACTTATTTTTATGAGTTCCAATTGTGAAGTTACAATGAATAATAATTTAGTGATATATTGATATTTTAGTACTTGATTATTTACTCAAATTTAATTATAATGAAATTAGATAAAAAAAAAATTTTAACCCCGCGGGGGAAAACGGGGCGGGATGGGGGGAAATAATAGGCAACGGGGCGAGGGGTGGGGGAGGGATCCCCCGCCGCGTTGCCACCCCTAGGTCTAGTTATAAGAAGTGAACTATTCCTGGTTACAAGAAACAAGATAAGGTGGATGTTTTATTGGAAAGGTTCTCATGTGCAGATTCATCTCACCATATACATAAGGTTTGGCCGACAAGTGCCTCCACTAGGCATAAGGGCTTCGATAAGAGTGTTATTAATTTGAAAAGTGTCCAAATCTATAGATACAATAAATATAAACATCTACATCATATGATGAGTATATTAAAGAGTGCTAATGGACAACTTTTAATAAATTATTAAAAAATATCCATGATTAAGACCTTATAGACATCCCAATATTTTAAGCATTTACTACCCAACGCCTCCTTCAAGCCAAAGTTGAAAGTCATATATACATGTAAGTTTTCAATCCCCAATCCTTGCAAATAATATTAAATGAAAGATTCAACAAAGATTGAACTTAAATCTCATAAGCAAAAGCACTAGTATTATCTTAATCATAACACAAATCACCAAACCAGTTCATGAAATGAATTATTCCCAGCTAAAAGAAACAACTAAGGGTAAATATTTCTGCTGCAAAGATTCCAATGTGGTTCCATAAATTATATCTTTGTTGCTAACTGCTTACTTGTTTGGGGTGTTTTATTGCAAAGATTCCCGCCAGTGAGCAGGATTCATCACCCCACATACATACACGGCATGGAGAATACATATGGTTCTGTGTATTCTACAGAAGAAATGCTGCTATCTGGCTGCAAACGAAAACTTTTGTCAGCTTATTGTGTTAGAGAGTAGCATGTGTTTTCCAAGTCCCAACAAATCTGTCTTTTCTATTTTTTCTTTTCTGGGCAGGACAAGTAATCTATCCATACTACGACAAATCTATCTTTCTTGTCTCAATCTGAGTTGTTCACTCAGATATTGATTCATCAATCTCATGAGCAAATATTAGCATCAATTCTCTAATTCGACACTAACACCAATTGATTAACCACATCATGCAAGCAATTACAATTCACCTGTTCACAAATACTCGATATTTTGCTTCTTTTTTCCTTTGTAGCACAAAAACGAAGAACAAACTTCAATCCAAGTTAGAACTTTAGAAATATGGCAATGATACAAACCCTAATAGTTGATAGTTCATTTGAAACAAAAGCCTAAATTAATTTGGTTGAGTCTGGGAACCAACACAGGAATTAATACTCTCCCATGCATCCTTTATACCGCAATAGGCTTTGACTCTTTCCTGACAAGATAGAGCTGGATTCTTCAAACGGAAATTTAATAAACCAAAATGATCAAAAGATTTAAATCGTAGTGGGTAGTTATCATCAGCAAGCTCTTTTGGTACTTGAACAACTCCTTTGTGGAAGGAGAACAGTGCAATAGAAAATCTTGCTTTTTCTTTCATTATAACTCTGTGAAAACAAGGATGTACTCTGCCATTGCTCCATGCCTTCAACAAAGAACACAGCAACTTAGTCATCAATGACATTCACAATTCTTTCTGCAAAGAAAAATGTAATTGTTTTTCTTTCTTTCTTTCTTTTTGATAAAATTACTGAGAGATTGAAGAATTTAGGGTGTTTGTCATCAGGTCCTGGAAACTTTTTTTTTTCTGGATAAACTGTGTGCTCCTAAATTTAGTATGTAGCAATACGAGTTTGTTTTATATCATCCATTAAATACTGCTAGAGTAACAAATTATCTACACCAATAATATAGGAAAGATTAACCTATAACAATATTGAGTAAAAACACGAATTGATTTATGGTTTTCTATGGTGCCAGAAACCGGACTAAAATATGCCTATTATCAATCTTCCTCTAGCTGAAAATATTGTATGAATGAACTGTGTAAACATAAGTTATTAGAGCAAGGGGTTAATTTCCATTTGGCCTTTCAAAGTAGATCAAAGTATCAATTCAGACCCTAAAAATGATTAGGTCCCAATTAACCTGTCCAAAGGGGATATTTTGTCCCGAGTAGGCCCTTCCATCATTTCAAATCTGGTCAATAACGTTTTATCAAACTTTAGTGATAAAGTAAAGTCTCATCCCTTTGTTAGAGACTTAAAAGCAAATAATTTATCACCTAAATGAGTTAAAAAGGATAAGATATTGCTCTTCTAAATCTATTTTCAATCTTTCAAATCTGATTAGAAGAGCACTATTCTATCATTTTAGCTAATTTAGACAGAAGACTAATTGCTGCAAAGTCTCTAAAAATCAATATGCCACTAAGGTTTGGTTAAACGTTATTGACCAAACATGAATTAACAGAAGGGCCATGTTGAAACAAAAATTCCAGTTTAAAGGGCTGGAACTAGATCACTTTTACAGGTTGAATCGACTCTTTAACCTATTTTGGAAGACTAAATTGAAATTTACCCTAGCTCAAGTGATTATATGTATGCACAAGTAATTTTCCAACCTCAAATTGCTAGCATTACAACTTGTAGGTTTATACCACGTGCAGGTATAGTGTGCAATTAAGCTTGCAGGGTTAGGCAATTTTTCTAACCTGCATGCTCGGATGCAGGACGCACAACTTGCATTCAAATTTGAATAATTTGATGTTGAAATTCAAAGTTAGATGATGTGCCATTCATTCAACCCCGTCAGTGTATATACTGACAGTGTAAGAAAGATTAATCCATATGTGTATGTGTATAATATATATGTATAGAATGCATCCAAATTTATTAGTGTAAAAAATTTTACTTTGGCAGTGTGGGAAACATGGCAATGTCTTAACATGCATCATTCAATTGCATTAGTTTGAATCAACACAGTTATCATATTGGTCAACTAAATATCGTACTGATACTGTAGACAAGACAACACACATAAAATTCTATTAAAATATTTCACATGTCAGCATTTTTCATGAAATATCTTTTGAGATAAATTAGTTTTTGGAATATAAAATAAAATATTACATTTTATTGATAGTTGATACGGTAACTTACACATCACCCCCTTGTAATTTTACCCATTATCACATAACTCCTTAGTGTTTCAAACTATCCACTTCACTCTCCTATAGTTTCATGTAAAGTGGAAACTTAATGGAAAATAATGTCCATAATGTTGTTAGTTGAAATACTAGTATTACTCTTACTTAATATTATATCAATCAGCAGTGTAACCATAGGAGGTTAAAGTGGATACTCATGTGAAAAATTGGTGGTGGATATTATGATTTCATCACATGCAATTTTGGAGCGTGTCTGGTTCAATTGACGTATCAGATGGTGCATTCCATCCATATGCCACTTTAGATAAAATAGGGGTAATATGGCTCTACTTTAAAACCTTAGGGAATAATGTCAGACCTAAAATAATTTGTGAACAAAAGTGCTTTCGAGACTAAAAGTTTTCAAATGGTATGGGAAGCAAACAGATAGGGGAAGAAAATTACTCACCAGCATGGCATCACCTGCCATGACTGCAAAGGAAGATTGTGGCAAATGAACAGGAATCCATGTACCGTCCTTTAATTGAACCTGTAACCCTTGAACACTATCTTGCTTAACAACACTCACAAAACTTGTGTCAGTATGAGGAATAATTCCAAGATTTGGCTCCTTCTCATGGGGAACTCTATAAGCATTGGCTCTGAGGAGATAAGATGTTGATTCTATGTGAGAGTCGCTGTACTTACCAACACCATAGCTTTCAAATATCATTCTGCTCACCAACCTGTTCACCTCTGATACTTGTTTTGTGTAGGAGTGTATTGTTTCACTAAGATTTAACACAAGAAAAGGGGGGAATCATAGTTGACATATATGAAAATGAGGTAAGGTAAAAAAGAAATAGAAAAAGATATGCGCATAAAAATATACATGAAAATGTATATGCCCTAAAGTCAATTAACTTCTAGATTTTAGTATGCACTTGAACTATTTATGTTATTATAAATGACATCTTCATCACATTTATTGCAAAGATATTTATATTCGTATGATAAAATCCTTAGAGTAAATCTAATTGATAAAATTATAAGAGTTGTGATAATATGGTTCATTTGATTATAGATAAGATTTATTCTTAAATATTTCCATTAAAAATATTAACAAGACATGGCATTGTTAATACGATAAGACTAGTACTCCGTATATACTATGCCACTTCTATATGAGAGTAGTAAATCTCATCTACTATAGTGTGTGAGATACCTAAACTAATATATGGGTTCTAGATAAAACGATCAAATTCACTAGATTGATTCCCATAGAGATATCTAAACCTAGCAATTGGCCAGGTTGGTGATGGGTTTTTATTTAAATGGGTTTTATTCAACCTGCACAACAATAGATTTGGTTGATTTTGGGTTGGGTCATCTCAAACCCAGTAGCCCAAATATGACCCAACATATAATTTTATACATTTTAATATATAATTCCCTCTTACACACATTTGCACATACAAAATAATTTGTTTACACGCACAAACTCATTTTCACATACATGAACATATTTTCACACATTAAGCATTTTAGGTTAATGGCTAAGTACTTGGGTTAATGGTTACCCAAGTTAAAAACCCTACACGCCCAAAGCTTATTGGGTCATTTTCACCCACATCCAATTAATCCACCACCCAACTGATCCAACTCAACCTCTTAAATTGGTAAGCGGATTGGACCAGGTTGTTGGGCTTTGGGCATTTTTGCCAGTCGTAGAAATATCCTTTAAGTGCCAAAGGATTAATCTCTAAGTGACGTTTGTACAAGTGATCTTTAGACTTAACATTATTATATTATTTTGAATATGAATAGTTATACTTTGTTTGTTATATGATTGCTCCTATAACAAGGAATGCTCACATAATTAGTATATAGATATATATATATATATATATATATATGAAGTATGAAAAGGTGATAAATAATCTATAAGGATTTACCTTCACTTATAGAAGAGGAGTTATTTCATGTCTACCACTTCTAGAAGTATAATTTGGAATTCTTAAAACTAAATGGAAGAGTCTTAGAAAGCGTTTCTAAGTACTTTTTCACTGGAGTTGTATTTTAGTACAAAAAAAGAACATTAATCACATAATGATATGGGCACAACTTATTCCAAAATTAATGTGAGATAAGTATGATAAAAGAATATTAATTACATAGCAACATTCATTGAAAAAACGTTAAATCATCCACTTGACTTTTCTCACTACATGGGTGGTCATAATGCATTACTACATGCAAATCTTGATCCATAAGAATCAGTTGATTGATTAGTAGAATCAATGATATATAGATTAAAAGAATTTTTATTTTTCTAATTCTTATTTATTAAGAATTATAACTCATACTTATCGCAAACGTATATGAGAACCTAATAGATCACACAAATTAAGAATTTTTTTATTTGGATTAAAAGAATTTCAAGTAGGGACTTAAAAAATAAGTTTTTATAACTTATATTTTAATTTATAAGATAAATTAAACTTAAGGGACTTATGGTACAAATAAGTTTAAATCTTCCAAATAAAAGAGTTGTATTAGAATAAGGAAACTAAATCCTATTCAAAACTGGTTTCAGGGTTTTCATAAGGATATGTAAAACTTTTTTTATCTATAAATACTCACTAAGAACTAAGATTTTACTAGCAAAACTAATGACACACAAATTATCTTGTGAGATTTTTGAGAAAAATAATCTTGAGAGAAAAATACCTAAAATTCGTCCAAGAAAATAAGGAAAAAAATCACATCTCTTATTTCTGTTACTAGAACGGGTTTTTCACGGTGAAAACTGGAGTTTTTCTCAATAGTTTGTGTGAGGTGTCTTGGCAATATTTAGCACAAATCTAGATTTTTCTCAACCAATTTGTGTGAGGTGTCTTGGCAATAGTTAGCACTAATCTAGTTTAAACTAACTCAACCTAGTAAGTTCTAGCTAAGGAAGTTTGTGTAGCTCACTGTTAGAAGCCGAGCATCCATACAACGTGGATCATTTTGCCCCTCCGCATTAAATCTCCATCAGTTTAAGAAGATCCTCATGGATTGAGATAACCTTCTTAAACTAACTTTATATCACATGAATTTAATCGAAGATCGACCTACTAAAAGTAATAAAAAATTTTTAATTTTCTAGTGTGCGTGTATCTGTGATTCCTTACAATACATTCATGCATACATATAGATTATAGACCTACATCAAACATAATACAAATCATAGACTTTGCCTGTTTAGTTCTCCATTCCCTAGAGTTTTTGTTTTCAACAAGAATTTGGACTCTATTATCAGGAACATGGAAGTTAAGAATTAACAAGAGAATAGGCACAAATTAAAAGATCTTCTCTAACATCTCATCTTACCAGAAATGATCATTTCCTGAAGGCCAGATGACATTTGCAAAGCTTTGAACTGCTCCAATGGTTGTTGAATCTTCAATACCAACGGTTTCATGAACAGGGGTTTCAGGCCTTGGTCTTATATAGCCAAAAGCTGGCCTATCAGGAATAGTGTTAAGCAATTTTGTCTCCATGGGGAGGTTAAACAGCTCCTTAAAAGATGCAAAAGCATCACTAATGAACTCAGGTTCAACTTTGTCATAAACTGCGACGAAGCAGCTAAACTCCTCCAGGGCTTCCCTCACAGCTTTGCAAGTAGAAAACCAAGAACCTGTACCTGGATTTAGGTTTTCTGCGGTAAAATATATGACTGGTACTATATTGTTTTGCTGTGTTTGAGGAGTATAGACTTGAGGATTGTTCTCCATTGACAAACTTGTGGTTGATTTTCTTGGTTTCAGACTTAATTAGCAGTGTTCTAGGTCCAGTTATTAGTCAAATGATCTAGGTAACATATAAGGTGTAGATTCTTCCTTCTTGAAAAGATTCCCACGTGGTTAGATAAGGTATTTACGTCACTATCAAACTGCTTGTGTTTATGGAGTATTATACTGCAAAAAATTCCTGTCACCGAGTAGGATTAGTGGTGGATTACTATCACTACATGTACACATAATAAAGTGATTACCGCTCTATGTACAGTGCAGAAGAGTGCTGCCATCCGCAGGTTGCAATTTCGAATGTCATCAAATATCTTAATTGTGATCATTTTTGGGGTCTGGTGATACCAAGTACTTTCCAACTAACTATGGTATATTTTTTGTTTGCTAATAACTTTAAAAAAAATACTTTCCCATTCCGGAAATAGGTCTCTCCAATGTCAATTCTGTCCAGTTCTATAAGCTGATACATTTTTTATATAAATATAAATTATAATTGAGTTGGTGTAAAGTTCACTATTAGACCAATATACTCCCATTAATTTACACTGAGATTATATTAGTTTATATAATAGAACGGAATTGGATAGAACTAGGAGTAGCAATAAGGTCAGTAATGGTTGACTGGTCGGGTTGAGAACTATGTACAATAGAAAACCTGTTGATCCGAACACGACCTGCCACCCCACGATAGGTCAGGATATCTGACTTGAACCCAAAATTTTTGAATTGGCGGGTCACCCGAATGACCTGATATGACTTGAAACATAACTCCAATTTACTAATTCACCACTGTAGTTTCTAACAGAACCAATTCTGCACAAAACTAATTACATAATCAAGTAATAAAAATCTTGATAAAACAATCCCAAATTAGATCAGAAATAAATTAAAACATCGTAAAAGTGTTTTATCCCAAACCAAATTTGAAATAAATTAAAACACTATAAAAGTAGAAAATAATGTAATACATAATTTGTCCTAACATGACAATTCCAACTTGACACAAGTTAAATGAATTCATTTAGGATTAAGTGGTTAATGCTTTTCGGCAAAAAAAAAAAAAGAATAACTTAGTTTAGTTAGATAAAAATATTTTTTATATTTATAAATTTATTTTAATTCATAAACGGGTCGGGTCAACCCATGGGTGACATAAAATTCGACCTATTTTCTTTTTAGATTTATCGGGTTCGACCCAATTCTAATCCGAACCTGCGAAATCTCAATTCAAATCCATTAATTTCGTGTTAAATTCATATTATGTTTTCAGATCATGTCGAAAATGCCACCCCCCACGTAGAACCTCAATTGGAGAGGCCCGGATGCTTGTCGGCCGGTTTAATTTATCTAGCAAATATAAACTGCAGCAGCTGCACGGTGAAGTTTAACTTTTCAAATGGCAACTTAAAAAATCTGGAGTCATTGATGAGGTAGTTGAATTTTTTGCCATAACTAGTCTTGGTCGTCCATAAAACTGAAAATCAATCTTAAATAATGGTATAGCGGAGCCCCAGGGAGGCCTCCACGTGGCAAACCAAAAGTTTTGGTTATAGTAATTAGCAGTTTCCCGGTTTAATTGTTTCGGTTTACCAAAAATGTTAACTTAATTAAAATTAGTAATAACTACACAGTCGATGCTTGTACAATAAAGAAATAGATAATATTTATCATCATATATTTTGTATAAAATTTTTCTGGGTCTATCTAATGGGTGCCTATAGAGCATTCGTTAAGATGTATTTCAGATATCATATTTTTGGAAATGTAAGATTAATTACGAAAAGTGAATAAATATAAAGAAGGGTAAGTAAGATTAAGTCGGAAATATATATAAGTGCACAGAAATGTAATAATTGTTAGTATTTGCATACACATGGTAAGTTAGGTAAATGTTAGATACGTCAATGAATTCCCAATACGCACCCATTGGTAGTGGTAATACTTAGAAGCGGCTATGTTGAAAGCATACGCTTAATTAGTTAAAAGTAAAAAAATGTTCATAGATGGCTATCTTGACAACATGTGTATTAGGTAGTTAAAGTAGAAATAGTTTTTATAAGGGCAAAAAATAAAAATTCATAAAATGATAATAAATGTTCACCCCAAATCCATTCGTCTCCTTTTATATATGGTATAGATTCTAACTGATGTAAACTCCTGCATATAATTAAACTGTTGTCTCTATCGAATTAGAAACCTTTATGTACATACACACATACATACACATATATATCCCCACCACCCCCCCCCCCCCCGAGGCCAAAAAAAAAAGATCTAAGATATGTGTGAGCAGATTGAATAGTTTGTTTGATTTCCAAAATCTGGAGTGCAGTGGCTAGTATGGAAAGTTTGGTTCGATTCCTTACTTAGATGCATTGGGTGATTTGAATAAACTGTACAATCTGTCAATAGCGTTATGAATTACCCTATTTGTAAATTTTTCTGATGAATGCAAAATTTCAATTCTCAAGCAACCAGAAATGTTATCTAACTACGGTTTGACGATGTCTATCAAATATAAGGATATTAGTGGTAAGGGCACACTCGATGTGTGTATGATTTAAAATCTCTTCTGTGGAAGAATTTAGTGTAAAATTTTCATACACAAAAAAAAAAAGGTAAACTTCGATATTTTAATAGTTTAACGCATAGAATTTTAATTAACTTGATGATTACAATGATGTTTGTGGATCATTATGTTGGTAATGTCAAATATGTCGTGGTTATACTGGTTGGCAATATCGATGTATAATTAAGTGACTGTGACGATAAAATTGAAACATCTAAAAGACGACAAAAAAATAAAATAAAAGTTTATATGAAATCAAAATCCCTCCCTTTATATAAAGTATAGATATCAAATTGACGCTACATTTGTTCCAAAAACACAAAAAAAAAAAAAAAAAAAAAATGCACTTCACGTGGGATGTTACCATGTTGCCTATGATTCGAGATGATGGTAAAAGAGGAGGAGAGAATTGTGATAAGATCTTTGTTGCTTTTCTGTAATTTTCTTCATGATGATGATTGTTGTTATTGCAGTATTGGAATAGGGTTGGTAAAAGAAAGTTAGTTGGTAGAATAAGTGTCTTATAGATTAAATGTGTCGGTCAGACCACTAAATGAGATTGTACTTTTGACTGGGCAATAGCCCTTGTTTTATCTGAAGTTGACACCCTAAACTTCTGGATAAGTTCATCATCGATTTTGACTTCCCTTAAGTGCTCCTCTTGCAGTTCTCTAATTCCTTGGTTTACTGTGTAATTAAGTATATTATTCATTACTGATTTGGGATTTGGAGATTTTTGAAAAGGGTTAATTACAGTTTGTTTTTTTGAACTTGACCATCGTGCTATAAACTTCAAATATATCCACTTTATCCCCTTCGTTGACTAATCAAATATTAATGAGCAATTTTCCATCCAAAATTTTGAGAAAATGGCATTAATATTTATATCTAATGGTTCTAGAATAATCTATACTTTTAATTAGAATATGGAACATCTTATTAGGAACAATACGAAGTCACATGATATAAAAAATTAAATAATAAAATATAATTTGAAATTTTCTATTGTGGACTAAAAAAGAATTTAGAAATTTTTAAAACTTCTACATTAGTTTTCCATAGCTTATCTATTTTCCTTTACATCGTAAATAAATTGGTGTTGATAATTTTAATTTACCTTGCAACTTTCACAATATTCTCGCGAGTCCATAAGATGCGAATAGGTATTTTTATACCAATTATATCTTGCTTTGTATTTTGTTTGAATTCTACATTACTCAAAAGAAACTTGAGATTATCTAAATATGTTTTTCAATCACATTTTTATATCGTATAAAGCACATTAAAAAAGTGCTAAAGTGAAAATAAATCAAATAATCTTGATTCAAATGCATAATTAATTTTATTTCGTTTAAAATAAGTACCGCTATCGGCATTGTGATAAACACATTCAATTGTTTAAACTTCTTTTTCCAGATTATCTAATTAATTTTACTACTAAAAGGTCGAATGCATGGTGTAATTGTGTTTAAATAGATTCAGCAACTATTGAAGAAATTGGTATTTATTATGTTACAATTATTATATGTGTTCAAGAATTAGGCATGGATATTTTGGTCTTGCAAAATATAACTTCATCTTTATCCCGTCGAAAAGTTGACTAAAAAGGTTAAAGTGTGTGTGTTTATATATATGGTGTTTAGAGGAGCTAAGTGTTATTAAGGGCCATTAGTTTTATACCCCACTCTTTGAAAATCGCCTTATGTCAAGTGATAAATACAAATATAGAAATCCTTAAAATCAAGGAGATGAGTCATGATTTAATTTGTGTTTGTCGTATAAATCATGTGTACGCTTAGAGTAGGATTTTCTCCCGAAAAGAATGTGCAGGCGAAAGAATAATTGTCAACGTCCTAACTTTGACTCTCTGCTTGCTGTATGTCCTATTCTACCTTGCACTGAGATGCATGTTCGTAAGTCATGATTCAGGGATCAAAGGTTGGGACTTGATCTATTGGAGCAGAAAATGCCCGATATGCTGTTCTGTCCAAGATACTTCTGTATGGATCTTCCACCCTTTTTCTAAGCAAGTAGGCCATACTGTTTTCAACTTCCGACTTTATCTGGAGATACAGCTCTCTTGCTTTCTCTCTGTCTTCCAACAAGTCTTGCCTTCCTTTTGTCTGAATGGGCTTCCCGAACAAATAGTACAAGCGGCCAGGAACCTTAGGCAAAAGGCCTGGCATATATAATTCTTGGTTTGCAATCTCTCCAGCCACGTGACCTCTGCAATGCAACCACATTGGTTATTTCAAATGCTCATCAGTGGAAAATCTGGTTGTCTAAGAGGTTTGATAAGAACAGTATGAGCGACAAAGGGTCATCACCTTGCTCTAAAATTCCAGTCTTCGTTCTTTTTTCTAATGTAGTCATTCAGCACTGGGATCTTCATCCAGTCATTATAGTCAAAGACTAA